GCTCTTGCAGAGGACCTGGGTTCAGTTCCCAAAACCCACTGTCTGTGAAGAATGAAATGAGTTAGAAACAAGACCAGACAGACCAGTTATAACAATAATATTGCTGTAGTGATGCTGCTTAAACAATATTATATGGCTTAATATTTAATGCCTGTTTCAATACACAAATTTTCAATTACATATTTCAGTGAAACAAAAGGTCAAAATTAAGGAATGAGTAAAGATACTTCTGGCAAAAATGAACTTAAAGGTACATTTTTATATCTATGTGCAACATAGACGCACACACACACATAAATAAAATTTCAAATAAATAAGGTAGTTTTTATTTTGACTTAAAGAACATATCATTAAATCAATTGCATAGTCAGCAAAGGAGTTGGAAAGAGACACTGAGCATCCCTGAGAAGGCAGAGGAGGAATCAATCGTGATTAATAGATTAGAATTTCTGTAATAGAACTGAGAAACAAAGTAGCTGATTCACTGAAAAAAAATTAAAACTGACAGACCTCCAGCAAGACTCAGGCACGACCAAGACAAGCAGTGCTTGTTTGGAGGCACAATGGTGCTCTCTCCCTTCCAGATTTCCTCCTACAAGGCTCCCTCGAGACCATCTGACAGGTGTGGCTGTGGTGAACCCCTAAAGAGGAGGAAAGACTCAGGCCAGTTCAGCTTCAGGCAAGCTGAGTGTCCCCGGCCAAGCGCTCCTGCTTCCTGTAAGGAAACCTGCCTTGGTGAGGTTTAATATAGTCCTATTCAGGGACACACACACTCTGCGGTCTCTTGTGCTCAACGTTGTGACCAGTTGTGGCTGCCAACCTTAGCCGAGGAACTACTGGCAGCTAATCACTGCTGTGAGGGAGAGTTGGTCTTAAGGGGGATGAACTCACATCAAGGGATATCTGGGGATACAAACTTAACTTGATAGGCCTTAACTTACATGACAGAATGCATGAAATCCGCTGAGAGTCTATGGAGGTGCAGATAGGGGAGGGGGTCTAAATAAGATTAAGAAGAATTGTAGGAAATGTACAAAAATTCAATCAAGAAGTATACATTGAAAGCCGGGCGTGGTGGCACACGCCTTTAATCACAGCACTCAGGAGGCAGAGGCAGGCGGATCTCTGTGAGTTCAAGACCAGCCTGGTCTACATAGTGAGTTCCAGGCCAGCTGGGGCTACAGGGAGACCTTGTCTCAAAAAAGACACACACACACACACACACACACACACACACACACACATATGAAAAAAAGAAAAACCCACCTGACTCTTCTTCAGGCCCAGGCTGGTAACAGCTCGGCAGCTGGTTCAGGGGTGCTGTACTGTCCCTTATCACCACCCCCACCAGCTCCCACTCCTGGTTAAACAGGCAGTCCCTGAATGGATAAGCACTTTTATAATGATCCTGTATCAAACATTCCCTCTGTTTCCTGCTCGGTATTGATTGATACATATTCAAGTCTAAATTTCTTTAAAATGAAGATTGTTTTCCAGGAAAGTATAAGTGATTATTATTCCAGAAAAGTTCAAATAAAATGTGCCAATAACTATGCAGTTAATCAAGTGCACTCTATCACTGGCTGGAAGGGTAGCTTAGTGGCATAGCATTAACCAAGAAGGAGGGCCTGGGTTTGAATCCTGACACTGAAAACTATATTGTATCTTCTTAATCCCAGTAACTGTCTACTTTTCAAATTCTTCCCAAAAATTAGGAAGATAGAACAATTCTGGTTTAAGGTGTTAACTGAAAAGCCAGGTGTGGTGGTGCATTAATCCCAGCACCGGGGAGGCAGAGGCAAGTGTATCTCTGTGAGTTCCTGGCCAGCCAAGGCTACATAGTGAGACCCTATCACCAAAAATTTAAATTCAAATTTAAAAAATAAAACAATAAGCCAAATTTAATTGTCAAAGGAGATACAAAAATCTTGGCAGATTAAATCTGCCATTATATATGTCAATTATATAATATTTATATATTATATAAAACAACCCAGGGGATCCGATGCCCTCTTCTGTCCTCCTCAGGTATTGCATGACATGGGTGCACTTACATACATGCAGGTAATACACTCAGACACATAAAATAAAGTAAATAAATACAAAAAAGAAGGAGACCCAAATAGGATCAGTTTTATTTAGGCTAAAAGGGGGTCAATAATGGAAAATTCTTTTTTCTATCAATTTTGTTAATGAAAAAAAGTTAGATTAAGGGTCTTGAGAGATGGCTCAGCAGTTAACAGCAATTGCTGCTTTTACAGAGGACCCAGGTTCAGTTCCCAACACCCACAAGGTGGCTCACAACCACCTGTAACTCCAGTTCCAGGGCATATGATGTCTTCTTCTGGTCTCCATTGGTATTGCATGCACATAGTGCACTTACATACATGCAGGCAAAACACTTGTACACAGAAAATAAAAATAAATAAATCTTTTAAAACCAATAAATTAAGTGGCAGGTGTGGTGATGCACACCTTTAATCCCAGCACTTGGGAAGCAAAGGCAGGTGGATCTCTGTGAGTTCAAGGCCAGCCTGGTCTCCATAGCAAGTTCCCCCAGCTGGGTCTAGGAATAAGATAATTGTGCCAGTTATCAGTGTTGGCAATATGGAACTTAAGACTTTTACTAATGTAATAGGATGAGAAATATTCGTATCAAAAATGGAAGAATACATTAGCTACAAAAATGTCTATCTCCCCAGAAAATAATCTTAAATTTTTTTGTCTTTTTTTTTTTTTTTTTTTTGTAGGGTCTTCCTGTAGCCCCAGCTGTCCTGGAACTCATTATGTAGACCAGGCTGGCCCTGAACTCACAGAGATCGGCCTGCCTCTGCCTCCTGAGTGCTGGGATTAAAGGCATGCGCCACCACGCCCAGCTTAAATTTTTGATTCATTTTTTTGTGTGTATGAGTGTTTTGCCTACGTGTATGTAAGCGCACCCATGTGTACAAGGCCCATGGATGCCAGAAGAGGGCACTGGATCCCCTGAAACTGGAGTCTCAGATGTTCTTAGCTGCCATGGGCCTGCCTCTGCCTCCTGAGTGCTGGGATTAAAGGCATGCGCCACCACGCCCAGCTTAAATTTTTGATTCATTTTTTTGTGTGTATGAGTGTTTTGCCTACGTGTATGTAAGCGCACCCATGTGTACAAGGCCCATGGATGCCAGAAGAGGGCACTGGATCCCCTGAAACTGGAGTCTCAGATGTTCTTAGCTGCCATGTGGGTGCTGGGAACCAAACCTGGGTCCTCTTCAAGAGCAGCCAGTGCTCTTAACCACTGAGCCAGCTCTCTAACACCCAAAAAATAATCCTAAATAAAGTATACCTACAAATCAATGAAAAAAACAAACATAACAGCAGAAAAATGAGCAAAAGACCCAACAGGGCAACTTACAAAATAATGAAGGTGTGTAAACTAGGACAAAAGGGAATGTTCCAAATCTCTTCAAGGTCAAGGGCTCAGTTAGATGCAGCCAGGAAGGTGGAGAAGCCAGCTCACAGTTCTCAAAATGTGTACAATTTAAAGACTTACCATAGAGCAGTATTGTCTTAAACTTTGAAATGTATGTGCCCTTTGACCCTGCAATTCCATTTCTAGAAATTCAATGTGAGTACCTAACTGAGGAGAATTGGGGCAAAAGAGAATTGAATTCTCTTCAAGGATATTCATTGTTGATCAAAAATCTATTGATGTAACTTAAGCTCATTTATCAAGTATACAGTGCATTCAGAAAAGAAAATATGGCGTGGCTACCAAAGTGATCTTGAAATGTGCATTTATAATTTCTGAACTGCTCTGTAATACACAAAGCAGTCACGGTCTTTGCTGCGCAGATTTACTGCGCCCTTCTGACAATGAAGCTATGTCCCAATAAAGCCTTTATAAGCTGGAGGCATCACAATTCAAAGATGCATTGAGAACACACAGCCAGCTGAGTTATCAGAAGACAACAGCCCAGCACACTTAGAGCTCAGCCGTCTGCTCTTGTGATAGTAGCGCTAACTGGGAACTCAGAGTACGCTACCACTAACCATCATAAGAGAGAAGAGGTTACCAAGTATGGCTAGCCCAGGGAAAGGCCCAAATTTCAAATTTGACATAAAATTTCTACTGCAGGGGCCTGGAGAGATGGCTCAGTGGTTAGGAGCACTGGCTGCTCTTGAAGAGGACCTGGGTTCAGTTCCCAGCACCCAGTTAACAACATCTGAGACTCCAGTTCCAGGGGATCCAATGCCCTCTTCTGGCCTCCATGGGCACTGCACACATGGGTGCATGTACAAACACGCAAGGAAGACACCTAGTACACATAAAATGATTTTTTAAATATTTTATTTATTATTTTTATGTGTATGTGTGTGTGTATTGCCTGCACGTAGGTAAGTGCACCCGTGTCATGTAATTCCTGTGAGGACAGAAGAGGCCATTGGATCCCCTGGAACTGGAGTTACAGACAGTTATTAGCTGCCATGTGGGTGCTGGGATTTGAACCGGGTTTTCTGCAAGAACAGCCAGTGTTCTTGACTGCTGAGCCACCTCTCCAACCCTGAAATTATTTTTTTAATGTAAGAGCCACAACAGGAGGAAAGTGAGGAGCAAAGAGACTCTCCTCCCCATTCCCACTTTCCTGATACTAAAAAAATTGAGGTGCAAAATTGGGAACATGGCCCCGGGGCCACACTGCTGGTGGAACTTTCCATCAGCCTTCCCCAGGCCCACCTGTGTCCCTGAACCTGACTTCATCCATACTCCCCTGGCAGCCGCCCAGAGGACATGGGCTCCATGGCAACGCCACTACCTCCTGCTCTAGGTGGGTTAGCTTACGGAACCCTGGCAGCCCTGCGGTGCTGGTGATCATCACTCTGCCCAGTGTGACTTTAGCCCATGAGATCACAGCCAGAGAGTGGCAGGCAAGGATGTGCACATACGCCTGCACCTCCCACCCTTCTCCCCTTGAAGGCCCAAACCCACCACCCTGCCGCACGTGTCTTGCTTCCCCCAGGTGCTGAAGACCTGCGCGCCGGCACCCGCTGTCGTTGAGGTTCTTTTCAATGCCTATGCTCAACTCCGTGTGTCTGAGTCCTGGCAGGGGGAGATCCCTGAAGAAGTGTACCAGGTAAGGCCTCCTCTTTCCACTTCTTTGATGCCTCAAAACTCTCTTCTTGCTTCTCTGTGCGAAGTTTTGCACTCAAACCCAGAAAGTAAAATATCTGCAGAAGCTGGGGGGAGGGAGGACATGCATCTGTTTTCTCCTGAGGTCCAAGAATCACACGCCAAGAGCCAGTTATTGTAATGGTCACGCTTCTCCGTAAGCTCTGCGCCTACAGAGTTCACCAAGTATAGATCAAAACTATTGGGGAGAATTGGGTCCTCCGACACACTTGGGCATCCATCACTCGTCATTATTTCTAAACAACACAGTACAGCAACAACCTGTGTATGTGGCATCTACCTTGTATTATCAGGCATGATGGGTGATCAAGAGGTGATTCAGAGTAAATGGAATGGTGTGTGGGTTACACACAGACAGGAGGCTTTCTTACAGAAGGGACTTGAGCACCCTTGGATTTTGGTGCCCTCAGAGGTCAGGGAGCCAGTCCCCCACGGACACATAAGGACTTTGGTGATACGGCTGCTAGAACAAACAACTGGCCTACATTGGGTGGTGTGCAGAGAAAGGAGGTGTTGAAGACTCGGGTTCTCACTGGTTTTCTGAACATGCCTCTCTGGTCCTGTGCAGGAGCTTCAGATTTGATGTGTTACTCACATTGCAATGGCTTTAATGTCCACACAAGACAGTCCACAGGTGACTGTTGACCACAAAGAGGGAGAATGTTTCCCTCCAGAAGCTTCCAGAGACTGTCCCCTGGGATCTCACTGCATAAGTTTCTTGTTCATTTGTTTACAGATTTTTTTTTTTTTTTTTTGGTGTTTTTGAGACAGGGTCTCCCTGTAGTCCCAACTGGCCTGGAACTCATTATGTAGACCAGGCTGGCTTCGAACTCACAGAGATCTGCCTGCCTCCACCTCCCAAATGCCGAGATTAAAGGCATGCACCACCATGCCCAGCCTCAGATTTTTTTTTTCAAGAGAAGCCTTTCTTCTACGGACTGGAGGGATGGCTCAGTGGTTAAGAGTGCTGGCTGCTCTTGCAGAGGATCTGGGTTCAGTTCCCAGCACTTACATGGTGGATAACAACCATATGTAACCCCAGTTCCAGGGGATCAGACACCCTCTTCTGACCTCCATGGGCATTGCACAATATGAGGGCACTTACATACATGCAAGCAATACACTCGTATGCATAAAATAAAATATATAAAGAGAAGTCTTTATAATTATTTTTATTTTGTGTGTATGAGTGTTTTGCCTGCATGTATGTAAATATACCACATACATGCAAAGCCCACAGAGGCCAGAAGAGGGTGTCAGATGTCCTGGAGCTGGAGTTATTAGCCACCATGTGGGTTCTGGGAACCAAACCCAGGTCCTCTGCAAGAGCCGCCAGTGCTCTTAGCCACTGAGCCATCTCTCCAGCCACAGATTGTTTTTTGAGACAGGGTCTCATTATGTATCTGTGGCTGGCCTGGAACTCACTATGTGGACCAGGTTGGCCTCAAACTCACAGAGCTCCTCCTGCCTCTGCCTCTGCCTCCCCAGTGCTGGGATTAAAGGCGTGTGCCATCACACTTGGCTTCCTTGCACACGTTAATGAATGCCTGAACAAAGCCATGCATCAGCCAGGTTAGGAAGGGCTCCTGAACCTTCTGCTATGGAGGGACAGCATGCCCACCCCTCTTTGCATTGACGGGGCCACCCCAGGAACTGCGAAGAGCAAGACAGGGATGTGAGCAAATCACCCCAAACCATATCCCTCTGGTCCAGCTTTAGAACTTTCTTTAGGAAAGTTTGTCAATCCTCTGAATAGAGGTCAGATCTCAGAAAACAATGCTTCCCCTTGGTTGTGTCTCCCTGGCAGCTGTAAGCCATGTGATGGCCCCACCCTTCCGTGCTCCGGCTGGGAACCAATGTTCGTTAGTTCCATGCACAACCTTACTGTTCCTCCCGGTTCCTTTCTAGATGCACGAGCCTTTCTACCGGTCTTTCTTCGCCCTGGCGCATACCCCACGCTCCCTACAGCACCTGTGCCGCAGTGCCATCCGAAAAGTATTTGGCAAAAAGTGCTTTCAGCTCGTGCCCCAGCTGCCCTTGCCTGAGACATTGCAAAATTATCTGCTTTTGGAGCCAGAAGGTTTTTTGCGTTGAAACCACAACCTTGAGGCCAAGGTTCTTTCTGTCCATGGAGGCCATAGTGAAGGAGAGCACCATGCCATGGAGGTGCACATCTTGCTGTTCCCATTGCCTAAGTGACCAAGAGAGGCCCAGACCCACAAGCCTCAAGTTCACCTTGAAATGGAACTACTAATAAGTCCTCTATACCTCGTAGTTGTTTATGAGGAACACGTGAAGTCATCAGTAGGACAGAACTTGCTGTCAGAAAGTACCCTGAACTAAAAGGTGTAAGTGGTTTTCCAAAGTTTGTCTCTGACCCTAGTGGGTCCACAGTGTGGGTGCTTCCTCCCTGGACTATGGACCGTTGGCCCTGTAGGAAAGGCTGCCCACCCCACTCCTCCTGGAGTCAGGCCGTCTGGAGAAGGACTATGCCTTGAGCATGGCAGGCCCCCACTGGGAGGACACCTGCTTCTTGGGCAGGAGCACTTTCATAGGCCCATTGTGCTTACAAACAGGCAGTAGCCAAGCGCTCTCAGGACACTGGAGCGGGGATCCAAACTTGGTCCTATAGAAGTCTTCTGCCTGAGAAGACTTCTTCAACCCTTGCTGATCCTACTCCTGTGAATGGTGCCAGAGGCCAGATGACAATAAGTGTGGGTGGTTGGCAGACACCTGAGCCTGAGCACCACACAGCAAGAGTGTGTCAAGGCCTGCATTGACCTTGGCTTTATGGTACTTTGACATGTGAGGCCTTGCTGACCCCTGACGCACAGCTCCTCCCGTGGCTAGCCAGTCCCTAGAGAGAAGACACAACTCTCCAGTAACGGTGCTGTCCTGTGCAAACCAGCCAGTTTAGAGCCCAAACATAGCCACCTCCTTTGTTAGACTTTCTCTTAGGACCACCGTCCTGCTCTGAGCACTCCAGGATCAAGATCCAGACACCTAGAGAGAAAGTTGCCCAGAGCCTGCTGGAAGTGTGTCACCTAACACACCCTAAGCCTGCTTGTCCTTCCTTACCTACCCCACCCCTCCTCCTGGACAACCCTAAGGCCTCCTGGGCAATCCCTGTGGCATGGGGAGCCCTTCCTCTTGGGAATGGTAATGAACGCGCTATCTGCTCAGTAGCACTGTCTCCTGATCTGTTCATCAGAAATTGTCCCTTCCTTCCTTCCTTCCTTCCTTCCTTCCTTCCTTCCTTCCTTCCTTCCTTCCTTCCTTCTTCCCTCCCTCCCGCTCGTGCTCTCTCTTCCTTTCTTTCTTCTTTCTTTCTTTCTTTCTTTCTTTCTTTCTTTGTGCATGCCACGCAAGTGCTCTATCACTGAACTTCCATGCTGGAGATGGAATCCAGGGCCTCATTCAACCTAGGCCCTATCACAGAACCACTCCCTGGCCCAGTTCACCATATTGTTTTTCCTTTTAAAAATATTTTATTTATTTTTTATTATTTTATGTGTATGAGTGTATTGTCTGCATGTATGTAAGTGCACCTGTGTCATGCAATGCCTGTCGAAGTCAGAAAAAGGTGTTGGATCCCCTGGAACTGGAGTTACAGACAGTTAGCTACCATGTGGGTGCTGGGAACCAAACCCAGGTCCTCTTCAAGAGCATCCAGTGCTCTTAACCCCTGAGCCATCTCTCCAGCCCCCAACCCCCTTTTTTTCTTTTTGAGACAGTCTCCCTGTAGTCTCAGCTGACCTGGCACTCACTATGTAGACCAGGCTCAAATTCAGAGATCCGCCTGAGTCTGCCTCTGCCTCTGCCTCCCAGGTTCACCACATTTTAAGGCAAGGACTCTTCATGGTCAGTCTCTGGTGATAGGGAGAGTGGCTGCCTTTCTTTCCAATTAGAGGCAGGACAAGCTCTGTGAGATGAACCTCAGAGGGGATGGGCACAGATGTTCATTTTGCTACAGTCTGGAAAGGGAGTTCAGACCCCAGCAAACACCTGCAGCATTGGGATGTATGTACATGCACCATGAGTCAAGCCCCCTGAGGAAGTAAACGTGGGACCAAGCAGGGCCACTCTGTTGAGCGTGGTCTTGATGAAGGAGGCAGCCTGGCTGAGCCTTGGTGGGCTGTCCCTGGCATCACAGTGGCTCATCCAAGGGCAAGGCAGCATCTTCCAGCTCCTTTGGGTGACCTCTCTCCCCGTCCTTCGAGAGGGATAAGTGGCCTGAGCTATGGAAGGGTGAACACTGCTTCAAGACCCCATCCCGGGGAAGATGACTCTTCCTCAGCCCCGCCTCCCTCCACTTACAGAAGTCCCCACTGTGTGTGCACGAAGAAAGACTCAAACAAAAGCAAGAGTGCAGGAAAGTGCTGGGCACTGTGGAGACACAGAGGTTCATCTCCCCTCAGGAAAAGTCCCTATGCTTTGGGCAGCTGGAAGAATCGGGGCTTTGGAGGGTGAGGGACAGACCAGGAGACCTTGGCCACACCGCCGAGGAATCTGAACTTCCGTGAACACAAATAAGGAACCAGAGCAGGCAAGGAGTCGCAGTCCTGGGGGAAGGAGGAAGATTGCTCTGTCCTGAAAAGGGATTCAGTACACTGGACAGTGACCAGCAGCCCATGGCAACATCCTAGAGATGGATTCATAGCCACCCACCTCCATCAAGCAGCAAGAACAGTTACTTAACAGCTGTGATTTGCTTACCTAGAAATCCTGTCACCCTCTCACTAGGCTAGAGATGGAGAAACGGCTGATGGAAGGCAGATCCAGTGCCAAAGGGATCATGCTAAAATGCAGGTCTAGACTCTGGCAGTCTGGAGTAGAGCTCAGATTCCACAGGTCTGTGCAAGTGGATGCCTCCAGTGAGTAACCTTGCTGACATCCCACTCCTGGTCCTCAGTCTCACCAAAGGGAGAGACTGCAAAACCACAGGCCTAGAGAAGGAAGTTAACAGATACTTCATTCTGTTACTATATAAGAGTAAGCAGAGAGGGGCTGGAGAGATGGTCCAGCAGTTAAGACCACTGGCTGCTCTTGTGGAGGACCGAGGTTTGGTTCCCAGCACTCATATGGTGGCTAACAACTGTGTGTAACTCCAGTTCCAGGAAATTTGACGCCCTCTTCTGACCTCCGTGAGCATTGCACAACATGAGTGCACTTACACACATGCAGGCAAAACACATAAAATAAACATTTTTAAAGGAGTAAACAGAGAAGGAGACATAACCCCAGAAGTGATTCAGGAGCCGCGTCCTCCTGAATTCGGAAAACAAGAGTGTGTACCTGTCTCCTCAGCCATCCTCTCCTTCCATCCCACCCCACCCTGGAAACCGCTTCAGGTGTGTTTCTAAACCCTCGTGAAACCATTCCTCAAAAGAAAATCTTGTCGCTGCCGTCAACTGCCCGGCACAGAGCAACTCAAGGAAGGAGAGGTTTGCTTGGTTGACAGTTGGACGAGTTCTATCATGGCTGGGATGGGGTGCTAGCATGCCAGACAGGAAGATGGCTGGTCACACTGCATCAGGAAGCAGAGCGAGATGAATGCTGGTGCTCAGCTCTCTTATTCCTCCTGTTCTCGTTCAGTCCAGGACCCCAGCACGTGGGATGCTTCACCCACATTTACAGTGATCCTCCCCAACCAATCTAGAAACTCCCTCTCATGCCCAGAGGTTGTCTCCTAGGTGATTCCACACCTTGTCAAGTTGACAGTGACAACCATCAGGGATACCTGCTGGTGGGACTGCTGGGTCAAACAGCACTTGTAGCTTTGGTTTGTGTTTCCTTGGGATCTCCAGATGGGTTTCCACAGCCACTGTGCCATTTTACTTTGCCACTAATGATGCACAAGGGTTCCAGTTGCTCCAAGTCCCCAGCAACATTTCTTACTTTGTTTTCTTTTGTCTTGGTTTTTGTTTGATTTTGGCTTTTGACAATTGTTCACTTACTTAACTAAGCTTCCTGGAAGTCTGCTGGAGCAGAGCTTAGGGCATAGACCTAGGACGCACCCTTTGTCCAGAAAGACTCCGTGTTTGTCCTCTTTCTTGTGGGCCTCACAGTCAAGCGAAGCAGGACAGTTTGTCCTGGATTTATTGGAGTCACTTGGGCAGGGTAAGAGGAGTTTGGAGAGGAAGGGCTCCCTGCTGGCCTCCCTCTCCAGCTTCCTCTCTCTGTGTTGAACAGGGCTTTCATGTTCCTTTTGTGAAATGTGTGCCTTTACTGCAGCCAAACCACCCTGGTGGGCAGGGCCCCATGTGCCACAGTGACAGCAATAAACTGACACTCCAGACATAGGGGACGTTCTCCACGGTGCCCTGGACCCTTCAGGAGCATGACTTTGTGGCTGTGCCGGAAAGTAGTTGTGAATCACCTGGGTTCTAATGGGTGTCAGGGGTACTGGTGATGTTCTGAATAGCACTATGACTGTACCAGCTGGCTGACTGTTGCTAACATAAGAGGGAATTCACTCATAGTTTCACAGAATTTAGTGATTACTGGGAATTTTCTTTGTTTTATACTCTGTATTTCATATATTAGGAAGAGACTCCAATAAATCTATGTATACAGGAAAGAACAGGTCAAAGGAGAGGAAGAAGGAGGCGCAATTTAAAGGAGAAGAGGCAACAGAAGCCTGGGCAGCAGAAGCGAGAGGACGAAGGGGACGTCATCGTTTGGAAAGTGTTGCACAAACGCGCACACTTCACGTCACCACTGTGACTTTAAGGCCTTAGAAGTCGACCTGTGGCAAATGTGGCTGCCCTGCCACGCACAAGAGAAAGCCTAACTGGAGTACCAAGGCGAAGAGACGAAATACTACCGGGACCGGGTGGGTGAGGCAGCCAAAAGTTGTCTACTGCAAAGTCAGATGTGGATTCCATGAAGGAATGACACCAAAACCCAAGAGGGCATCTGCCGCTGCATCCAGTTCTTCTGAGGACCTCGGCCATCAGCCGTGAAGTAAATGTTCTGGTTTCAGAAAGAAAAACAAAAATGAAAAAAAAAGGAAGAGAGAGAAGCAGAGCAGTGAGAGGCAGAGAAGGCACGTAAGTCAGCTGAGGCAAACATCCAGAGCGGTACTCTACTGT